ATTCCGAACCGTCTTCCTCGAGAGATCGACCCGGGAAATGAATCTTTTGATTCGGTGCTCGGTAATAAAAATAAAATTTGCTATATGATGCTAACCATCAGATGCTCATAATTGAACTCTTGAAGCGTAAACGGTTTCTCTCTTTTTTAATTTTCGACTGGGCATACAAGACTTGGTCTATATGACCGGAGGGCCTCATCAAATCTTCCGCTCTTCTAACACACATAGTATGAGGTGATAAAGCTGTAGAACCAACGTGAGTAAGAAATGCACATTTATCTCCTTGACTTATTTGCTTCCAATTATGAAATCCTTCCTTTACTAATGATGAAGTATTTTGCATATTAACTTCACTCATGAACAAAAAGCAGTAAAAGCAATAGGCTCTATTCGTGGTGGGTGAATATTCTAGCCAATGAAACTTATCAAACCACCTTTTTTGAAAGCTGCGATTTTGGACACCAAATTTTGTGGTCGGATATGTTTCCATTTTCGGTTGATAAGGTCCCGCTCTTAAATATTCCCGTCTAATTCCATCTCTGAGGTGAACGAAATATTCACCTATTTGCTTTCTTTTTCCCAGATCTTGCTCAATGTAAGTAGTCGTGTTCGAGTCTGGCTTTGGGAGAATTGGAGCGATGTGCGACGAAGGAGAATCATTATTCTCATTCTGCACCGTATTTGATGTGCTTTCACTAGTTTGACGATCTCGTTTTTTAAAGAACGATGATATCAATGTGGTTTTTCCTTTCTTGGCCGAATGTTGGTGCTTCATGTGAATTTATGAAAATTTCACAATACCAATATAAGCTAAATATGCCCATTTATTTAAGCCAAATATGAGTTGAAATATTAATATTTAAATTAATCATTTTTACATTCTATACTGATGAAGTCATGATCTACCATTCAAAAATGAATTCACACCAAATAAATTATTTACCAAAAGACAAAATCTTTAATAAAACATCCCCCTAGGCCCATACCAAACAAGAAATAATGAACACCTTTAGGTTTAAAAATTCAAATTCCTCTTTTCTTCTCTAAAACTGTGAATACCCAATTTTGGCCTTGCCTGTTAAGATATTACATGTGAATATATATTAAATAAATATAAAATAGCAGGTTCTTTTATCTGATTTATATTGACCGAGTTCCCAGAAGTGAAGACGGTCCACATCCAAAACCAATCATAATTCAATATCGCTAGCTCGACCCAGATATCACAAAGAAGCCACTTTGACAGACACGTCAATTGCCGTCAATTGCCAACAAAACAAATCCCAGTCAAAGTGCCAGTCAATGCCATTATTTATTATATTTAATGAGCCCTGCGTGGTCACATTTATTACATGTTTATTATTTCAATTCAAAGGCACATTAAATGTAAAAGCCCATGTATGTATATGTGAATGGGCTTAAGGGGCTTTTGACTTTTTCTTTTTCCTTTATAAGATAGAGGAAGGCGGCATGAGCAGGGGGAGATTTTTTTCTTCTTATCAGATAAAAAAGGGGGGGTGCCTTAGCCAAGAGGCTCTCTCCTCTCCTAATCATATTTTCCCTCCATCAAGAAAACAAAAAAGATATACAACTTCTGTTTCCTCAAATTCCTTGAATCATTGCAATCAATTTCACACAAAAATCCTATAAAAACACAATTTTCCGGATACTCCCATGTTGTTACAATTTCGTTTAACAACAGTTTGGCGCTAGAAGGAGGGCCCGTAATTTGTTCGGGTTACCCTTTGCAAGAATACGGCCGCATCTCTGCTAAGAAACGATCACGCCAAAAGAACAAGCGGTGAGAAGGCCACTCCCGTTTGTATACAGTTGACCCACATCACTTTTTTTCCTCTCACACAAAAAAAGAGAGAAGTCTCCTTCCCAAATCTTGCAAAACCTGATGCCAAAAAAAAAAAAGGTCCCAACCCCTCTGTTCTTTTCAAAAATTCGATACAGATGCCTTAAAATCAAGGATTGAGCTTGGTTTGATCAAAGGTTTCTTTCTACCTCATTGAAAAAAAAATCGAAAGAGAAAAAAAAGGATAATTGCGGCGGATGAGAGAGAACAACAGTTTTCTGTGACCAGGATGAGGCCACGTCGCTGACCGCCATATTGCTTTTCGGCTTCTTTCAACGGGAAGAGAACACGTTGCCAAGGACCGCTGTTGTAAGTATTTTTACCGGAGTAGAATCGAAGGATTCGACACCGGGTCGTTTCACAAGGAAGGTCGGTCAGATTATTTTGCACGTTATTCAATCACACAAAAGATAAAAGAAAGTCCTAAACACTCTAATTCAAGATTGATAGTTTGATTTAACGACTACTAATTGTAAAGCAAGTAATTATTAAAGCAAAACAATCAATTCCAAACTCTCAATTAAAACACAAATTCCAATAGTTTAAAGGGACTAGGGTATCGGGGACAATCGTATCCGGTTCTCAATACATTAAACCGGCAATCAATTACTCAGCTAATGAACAAATAATAACCAATTCATCTAAAGATTCATTCTCAATATCTCACGAAACAAGAGAATAAACATAAACGAGCAATTATCGAATTCATTAACACATAGACAATACGTTTCCGAACAAGTCTATTCTAAACAAGCTGAGGTCGATCGATTTCTCCCCTTTCGGTTCTAAAATCGATTAAGTAGATTAAATGATGATCAGACATTCAACCCTAGGTTTAGCCTGACTCATCTAGATCGAGCAATCAACATTCGCATCAATGAAATTGAACCGGAACAATTATCCCCTAACCCTAGTTATCGAATTTAGCTACTCATAATCGATTCAACATCAACGCATTCATCAACCCAAGCAAACATCATCATATCAAATAAGAAAAGAAGTGCTTACGATTAATTTGAATCCAATGTTGAACAAACACGAGCAATCCAAGATCCAAAGCTAGAAAAGGAGTTTTTATGCTCCAAAATCTAATCCAAGATCAAAGAAAGAGAAAGAAATGTTCTAGAGATGAAAAACTATGAAAAACCAGGTCTGGGAATCCCGAAAAGTGACCAAAATTCGATCTCTTAACCCCCCAATTCGAAATCCCGAGAAAATAGCTGTTGTTACAAAACGGGGGGATAGCGGCGCTATGGGGATAGCGCCGCATGGTTGGAGTAGCTTGATTTGCAGCCCATCGCTAAGCTGCATAACGCCGCTTCTTTTCTGGCCATAGCGGCGCTATGGCCATAGCGGCGCTATGGCCTGGAACGTCCTTCTGCCCATCGCTAAGCTATGTGGCGCCGCTATCAAGGTGGCCATAGCGGCGCTATGGTCATAGCGGCGCTTTGTCCTTTGCAGCTTCCAAATTTCCAAGTTCTGAACACGTGAGCTCTCGTCTAGCATTTCTCGGGTACTGCCCGAGCTATAAATTCAGTCTCCGCATGCTTAAGTCGTACCGCACATCACTTTCAACATCTGCAACCTGAAAACCACCACAACCGAACAAACACGAAAAAGAAGAGAAAATAGGAGGAAAACCCAAGATAAGACTAAACACCACGAAAAATACTAGAAACTCGAGAATGACTAAAAAGGACCGGAAAATTTTAACGAAAGACCTAAAACGGGGGAAAACAACACACAAAATAGCCACGAAAATACCAAAAAAAACGGGACAAAAAACTCCCCCACACTAAGACCTTTGTTCGTCTCGAACAAAGAAAAGAAAAGAAAACAAAAGAAAGCAAATAAACGAGCAAGGACAATGGTTCAAGCAAGACTAATCTCAAACCAATCAATCAAGTCACGAAGAATTCAAATGATCATGAGAACACATATCAACCATGACCTCAGTTATTTCGAATGACAAAGACTCTCGAGAACGAAAATATATCATATGCCTCACTCAGTTTCTTTTGTAAATATAAAAGAGGTGCGCTCAAGTTGGTTATCAATCCATCATTCATAGATTTTCCAATCGTCTAACTTCTACTCTAAAACAATCGAAAATGTGAAACGATGAATCAAGAGGACTTCTCGGGTTGTAACGTAGGCTCTTTGGATCGGTTGGATACATATAGGCTAAGTGGCTAGATAAAAATAACTTCAACTCAATTCCATCACCCATCCGTAATCGTGAACACCTCCGGTTATCAATCACCAACCGGTTCATTCCTACGAACTCCAAAATCACCTACTTCCCAAACAATTCCTTTCATTATTATTTTTTTTTATTTTTTTTTTGCGACTGGAAGGTGACACGCCTTTCCATAGACAAGCCGGAACGGGCTCATCCCCAAAACTCCCTTATACGCTGTGCGTTGGGCCAAAAGTGCATCATCAAGCCGGTTTGACCAATCTTTCCGAGTCGAGTTCACCGTCTTCTCGAGAATTGTCTTTATCTGCTTGTTGCTCGTCTCTGCTTGGCCCGAGGTCTGTGGATGGTATGGGGTGGCCACTCTATGTGAAATGCCATACTTTTTCATTAACTTTTCAAAGAGTCGGTTGCAAAAATGCTTGCCCCCATCACTTATAATGGCTCGTGGGAAACCGAACCTGCTCAAGAAATTACTCTGCAAGAACTTGATAACTACATTAGCATCACATGTCCGTGTGGGGATAGCCTCGACCCACTTGGACACGTAATCTACGGCAAGAAGGATATACTCAAAACTAAAAGATTTGGGAAACGGTCCCATGAAATCGATGCCCGAAACATCATAAATTTCAACTTGTAAATTGCTCACAAGGGGCATCTCATTCCTTGGGCCAATATTCCCAATTCTTTGGCAGCGGTCACAAGATTTGCAAAAGTTATAAGCATCTTTAAAAAGAGTTGGCCAAAATAAACCTGATTGGAGGACTTTGAAAGCGGTCTTTCGACCCCCAAAGTGTCCTCCACATTGAAGCTCGTGACAAAAGGCCAAGACATCATGTTGCTCTTCTTCGGGCACACACCTCCGAAGAATCTCGTCCTTTCCCATCTTGAAAAGGATTAGGTCATCTCAAAAGTAGCTCCTGCACGTCAACACAAAACGTTTCCTCTCTTGGGAAGAGAGGTTAGACAACAAGACTCCATCTGACAAATAGTTTACGATGTCTGCATACCAAGGCACAGTAACCACTACATTCGCATGCTCATATGGAAAATCATCATTAATGCCTACATGCTTATTCAATGCAAGTGAAAGGTCCGAGGGAACAATGCGAGACAAGTGATCCGCTACAACATTTTCACACCCTTTTCTATCTCGAATTTCTACATCAAACTCTTGCAAAAGCAAAATCCACCTAATAAGCTTAGGTTTCGATTGAGTTTTACTCAAAAGGTACCTAAGAGTTGCATGATCAGAATGTACAATCACTTTAGACCCCAAGATGTAGGATCTAAATTTTTCAAGAGAAAACACAACAGCTAATAGCTCTTTTTCAGTGGTCGTGTAATTTAATTGGGCACCATTTAGGGTCAAGCTAGCATAATAAATTACACGAAGCAATTTATCAACTCGTTGGCCCAAAACGGCTCCCACAACAAGGTTCGATGCATCACACATAATCTCAAAGGGCAAAGACCAGTCAGGTGCAATCACAATAGGGGCAGTCACAAGCTTATTTTTCAATTTATTAAAAGCCTCAACACATGCATTATCAAACACAAATGGCACATCATTAGCAAGCAAGTGACACAAAGGCTGGCTAATTTTTGAAAAATCTTTAATAAATCTCCTATAAAAGCCAGCATGACCCAAAAAACTTCTAACTCCCTTAACATTTACAGGAGGGGGGAGTTTCTCAATCACATCAATTTTTGCCTTATCAACTTCAATTCCACGACTAGATATCACATGACCCAACACAACTCCACTTGTCACCATAAAGTGACTTTTCTCCCAACTCAATGTCAAGTTAGACTCAATACACCTCTCGAGGACACGAGACAAATTATGAAGACAATTAGAAAATGAAGTGCCAAAGATAGAAAAGTCATCCATGAATACCTGTATGCAATCCTCGAGCATGTCGGAGAGAACGGAGAACATGCACCGTTGGAAGGTACCGGGAGCATTGCAAAGGCCGAAAGGCATCCGTCTGAAAGCAAATGTGCCAAATGGGCAAGTGAAGGTTGTCTTGGGCTGATCCTCTGGAGCTATGGCCACTTGGTAGTAGCCCGAAAGACCGTCGAGAAAACAATAGAACTGGTGGCCCGAGAGACGATCGAGAATTTGATCAATGAACGGCAACAGAAAATGGTCCTTCTTTGTTATGGCGTTGAGTCGCCGGTAGTCAATGCACATTCGCCACCCGGTAGTGATACGGGTGGGGACCATCTCTTTCTTCTCATTCTCGATCACCGTGATGTCCCCTTTCTTCGGCACCACATGGATGGGACTGACCCACTCACTGTCGGCCACTGGATAAATGAGCCCCTCAGAGTATAGCTTCAGCACTTCCTTTTTCACTACTTCCATCATGTTCGGGTTGAGCCGCCGCTGGCTATCCCGAAATGGCTTGGCACCCTCTTCCAAAATGATCCGGTGCATACACGTCGAAGGGCTGATGCCCTTAATGTCTCCTAGGCCCCAACCGATGGCCTTTTGATTCTTCTTAAGCATCTCGATCAGCTCCTTCTCTTCGTCTTGATTAAGCTCGGCAAATATGATAACCGGCTTTTGTTTCTCATCATCAAGGAAAATGTACTTGAGGTGACGAGGCAACTCTTTCAACTCTAGCGTTGGTGGGGCCTTCGATCTCGGTTCTTCGACCTCCATCAGTTCAATAAAAGGTCCTTCTTCCTCTTCCAGATCGGCATCAACCTCTCTTCCAACTCTCGAACAGCAATCTCCTCCACAAACAGGTCACTCGCATGAATAAAGGCGCATTCCTCCACATAGTTCGCCGAAGGGCCAGATGTGGCCTCTCGGACAGAGATAGACACGGACTCGCCTAGGACAGTCATGTTCAAGGTCCCGTTCTTGACATCAATGAGGGTGTTGGTGGTGGCCATAAACGGCCTGCCGAGAAGGATGGTATGGTCCTTCCCATTCTCGTGAACGTCTCCCGCATCGAGCACTACAAAGTCCACCGGGACGATGAGCTTTCCCACACGAACAAGAACATCTTCCACCACTCCCTTAGGGTATCGAATGGAACGGTCAGCAAGTTGAAGGCACATATGGGTTGATCTCAAATCTCCTAGACCGAGCTGATGGAAGATAGAAAACGGCATAAGATTGATTCTCGCTCCGAGGTCAAGCATCCCCGAATCTTCCTTCCCGTTCCCGAGAGCTATTTTGATCACGAAGCCCCCAGGATCTCGTTCCTTCTTAGATAAGTCATGCTACATTGAACTTGCCGCCTCATAGACCACCACTTTCTCCCCATCGCCGAACTTTCTCTTCTTTGTGACCAAGTCTTTGAAGAACTTCACATACGAGGGCATATTCTTGATCACATCTAAGAGGGGCAAGTTCACGTTGACATTCGAGAGCATAGTGTAAAGATCCCGGAATTGTTGTTCTTGCTTCTCGTCTCAAAGTCGGCTTGGAAAAGGGATGCGTGGTTTGTAAGGATTTGGAGACTTGTGCAGCATCGAGCCGTCCATCGGCTTCTCTACATTGGCTTCCTTGCTCTTCACATTCTCCCCTGCTTCTTTGGGCTGTGTGGTTGGCTTAGGGTTGTCGGGCTCGGGCATTCGTACTTTGTTATCCACTTCCTTCCCGCTCCTCAACAATGTTATTGCCTTTGCTTGCTTGGGCTGGCTCGGGAGTTTCCCTTTGTCGGACTCGGCCTCCATATTCCCGACTCTCGTGGCAAGTTGGCCCACTTGCGTCTCAAGACGCTTAATAGATGAGTCCTGGTTGGTGATGAACTGAAGGATCTTGTCCAGCTTGTCATCTTGGTTTGACGAGCTTGAACCGGACCCTTGGGCTGGTTGTTGAGGTTGTTGTTGTTGTTGGTAGGTTGGGCGAGGGATGAAATTGGGACGGGATTGCTGCTGCATGAGGTTGGGACGAGGTTGTTGTTGGTTGAAGCTTGGACGAGGTGGCTGGAGAGTGTTGTTGTTGTTAGACCACGAGAAGTGTGGGTGATTTCTCCATCCCGGATTATAAGTGTTGGAGAAGGGGTCGTTGGGCTGCCGGTTCTGATATCCTTGAAGAGCATTGACGTCGGCATATTGCTCTCCAAGGTCCTGATCGAATGCCGATCGGCACACCTCTGACCGGTGCCTTTGGGCTCCACACGCCCCGCAAGTATCCACTGCCATAGTCTGAACTGGCTGCATTGTCCGAGCATTCATTAGCCGCATTTGTTCTGTAAGCTCAGCTATCTGGTGGGCCATCATGTCTTTCCTCGGAGATGCTTCATTCACCACCGCTCTTTTCCCTCGACTGCTCTTTTGAGACGAGCTAGAACTCAACGCCTCAAAGATATCCATCATCTCCTCCGCTGTTCTCGCCCCAATGTCTCCACCCGCTGCATTGTCCACCATGTATTGAAGGTTCTGGTGGAGAGAATCATAGAAGCCGTTCATCAAAAGGGCTGGAAGAAGATTGTGATGTGGGCACTGCCTCTGTAGGTCCTTGAAGCGTTCCCACGCTTCATGAAGTGGCTCGTGCGGCTGTTGGGCAAAAGAGACAATTTGGGACCGCAGCTCTTGAGTCTTTTGGTGGGAGTAGTACCTCCCGATGAACTTTGAGTACACTTGCTCCCAAGTGGTAAGAGAGTCTGGAGCAAGTGTCATCAGTCACGCCTTAGCCCGATCCTTGAGTGTTTCTGGAAAACACCTCATTTTCAACTGGTCCTCATTTAATCCGTGGAGTGGAAACATTTGGAGGACATTGTAGAATTCACGCATGAAGTGAAGTGGATCTTCGTTGGGAAGACCATGGAAGGACGGGAGTTGGTTGTAGTGGATGGTTTTAAGCTCGTAGTTCCGAGCTGCTGTCCCCAGTCTGATGCATGAAGTCACTGGCCCAATCACCGGTTGAGCCAAATCTCGAAGGAGAGACTTATGAGGATTGTTGACCTCCTCATCTTGTTCATTCTGTGCCATATCGGTTTGGTCTTCTGATGTAGATGATATCGGTGCGAGACTATCTAGTAAGTCTCGTAGGTCCTGTTGGATGGATTCGTTGTCTGGGATGATTACACGACCACTCCTGGTACGCATAAACACAAACAACAAAAACGTCACGGGCACCATATAGATACAAAATGAACGAAGAGAGATCAGATAAAGAGAACAATAAAACTAGACAAAGAAAACAAAACAAAAGAAACACAAAAACAAGAAATCACAGAAAATAAGAGAAACACTGAAAATAAATGAATAGACGCACAAAATAAGTCCTAAACCTTCCCCGGCAACGGCTCAATTTGTTGTAAGTATTTTTACCGGAGTAGAATCAAAGGATTCGACACCGGGTCGTTTCACAAGGAAGGTCGGCCGGATTATTTTTCACGTTATTCAATCACACAAAAGATAAAAGAAAGTCCTAAACACTCTAATTCAAGATTGATAGTTTGATTTAACGACTACTAATTGTAAAGCAAGTACTTATGAAAGCAAAACAATCAATTCCAAACTCTCAATTAGAACACAAATTCCAATAGTTTAAAGGGACTAGGGTATCGGGGACAATCGTATCCGGTTCTCAATACATTAAACGGGCAATCAATTACTCAGCTAATGAACAAACAATAACCAATTCATCTAGAGATTCATTCTTAATATCTCACAAAACAAGAGAATAAACATAAACGAGTAATTATCGAATTCATTAACACATAGACAATACGTTTCCGAACAAGTCTATCCTAAACAAGCCGAGGTCGATCGATTTCTCCCCTTTCGGTTCTAAAATCGATTAAGTAGATTAAATGATGATCAGACATTCAACCCTAGGTTTAGCCTAACTCATCTAGATCGAGCAATCAACATTCACATCAATGAAAATAAACTGGAACAATTATCCCCTAACCCTAGTTATCAAATTTAGCTACTCATAATCGATTCAACATCAACGCATTCATCAACCCAAGCAAACATCATCATATCAAATAAGAAAAGAAGTGCTTACGATTAATTTGAATCCAATGTTGAACAAACACGAGCAATCCAAGATCCAAAGCTAGAAAAGGAGTTTTTATGCTTCAAAATCTAATCCAAGATCAAAGCAAGAGAAAGAAATGTTCTAGAGATGAAAAACTACGAAAAACCAGGTCTGGGAATCCCCAAAAGTGACCAAAATTCGATCTCTTAACCCCCCAATTCGAAATCCCGAGAAAATAGATGTTGTTACAAAACGGGGGGATAGCGGCGCTATGGGGATAGCGCCGCTATCGTTGGAGTAGCTTGATTTGCAGCCCATTGCTAAGCTGCATAGCGCCGCTTCTTTTCTGGCCATAGCGGCGCTATGGCCTGGAACGTCCTTCTGCCCATCGCTAAGCTATGTGGCGCCGCTATCAAAGTGGCCATAGCGGCGCTTTGTCCTTGGCAGCTTCAAAATTTCCAAGTTCTGAACTCGTGAGCTCTCGTCTAGTATTTCTCGGGTACTGCCCGAGCTATAAA